GATGTACTACAGGTGAAGCGCCGATGCTCTTTTATAGCTTTGAGAGGTGGGCGTGGTTCGAAGCGATATTGAAGGAGAGCGCAGAGAAAAAAATGTGCGGAATTTTTTTGCTGAGCACAGGTCATTAAGGGCGCTATGGAAAAAATGCTCGTATTGACACGACCCCCTGTCGCAAGGTGGTATAGACAATACACTCCTTCAATCACGAGTTGTACTAAATTAATTAAGCGAATTACTGGTACTTGTTTCAGCATTGTCGCGGTCGCGTCGCGTATCGTGCTATTCTCTGAATGCAGCAGATCAGGTGCGAGCTCGAATGCATACCCTATTACCCACGATTTGCCCTAACGGATGTGTTTCCAACTCTAGAATTAATCGACTTTTGGTCAGCGCTTTCTCTCACCGAAGGATTGATAGGAATAGTTCAATGTGTCGAAGATAGAGACTGTAGAAATTCCTCTCAGTAAACAGTGGTTGATCTCAGTAGTGTCATTTATAGGCTTGTCATAGCGCCGAGGCTGTTTCAACTGACGCGTTTGGTATGGCACTGTTTTCATGTATAAATTGCTGTAGGGCTTGATGGTTTGCCAGAAATGTTTTGTCACCTCGGTGGCAAAATGATTGCGCCAAAAATCAACCCACAGATCCCTTCGTGTGAGCTATGTACGATGAACGTCCCAGTTGGCGATATTTCAGCGCGTAAAGTCGTCCAGTTAGGGAATACTCTTTAATTTACGTGCAATGCCACGCCTCAGACGCCATGAACTACACCTCGCACTTTTGCACCATTCTGTGCTTTGACACGCCATCCTCATTCGCCTCCGCATTTTCCTTTCGCATTGGACCTGCACAAGAAACTCGAACGGTTACTGTGACTATACCAGTGCGCCATTTTTGCTTCCACCATTTTCTGCCATGTGTTGCGTTTGCTTTTATTTAGCCATCATGAGTTTTCTTGCCCATGCGTAATTTTTTTCTTTTCAAATATTTTTTGTTTCTCATCTCCATTGTAATGCAGCCAGGACACTTGCGCATTCACTTGGTGTCTTTTGTACATTTCTGGTCTCTTGGGCTTATTTGCCGTGCGGGTAAATGTTTATGTTTTTCGTAACAGTTATTGTTCAAGTGCTTTTAGCCCTCTAACGACATCCAAAAATCATGAGGGATAATAGGATGATTATAAAACGCATAAACGTGACACATGAACTGGACCCGTGCATTGCTGCTCAAAGCCGTTTGGAGCCAACTTTCTGCACGAAATGGCAAGTTCATTTGTCTTTTCATCTATCAATAAAATACTTCACACCGGAAGATTTCCCTTGAAATGTAGGTGAAATCTTATGTAGCGCAAACAGTGCATTGGAAAACAATGGAGGTAATGGTGCACCGGTGCTGAAATAGTTAAGTAAGGCCACGCGGCAGCGCCTCTGCCGCCCTTTATTAGTCCAGGTTCAAGGGTAGAGCGACCAGATTCACCTTCGAGTATGTTATAGAATACAGACTGTTCGCGCACACTCCGAAGAACGATTCTTTTCATGTGCAAGGTAAACAGGTTCGCAGCTGCAGTAATGTGCCACTTTTTCCGCTCAAATGTGAGGGAACGCCACTGTAGGGTAGTGAAAGCCAAGTACCGACCCCATGCTCCGCCCGTGTTATCCTCAACGTGCGCTCATTGGGAGCGAGGATCCCGCACTCAGCCATGAAGAACAAGCAGAATGAGAGTGCGCAGGCATGTAGCCGGTTTGGCTATGGTTAGGCGTGCGGATTGTCGGGCAGAGTGTGGAGATGGCACTTGGGAACCACTAACCTCCAGTTTCGTTCCTGTGCACTTTCAAGCGGGGGAAAGTGGGAGCGGTGGCTGCGGATCCACTCAACTCACATACGATAAGGCGCAGGATGCGCGGAGGTTGGTGTACAGAGTGTCTTCAAGGAATAAAGTTGGCATCTATTTATGTCAGGTAGGGTTTGCGTGATTCAGCTTTTATGTCCTTGGCATACCACCCGTTTACCTCAAGGAAATAAAAAGGGACCTCAAAATGGTTATTTGTCCCGTCAAATTACACTTTTCTAATGGAGAGAGTGAGAATTGTTATTGTAATGTGGCTAAAAAGGAGTTCATGAATTCTTCATAGGAGCTTCTAGAGATAGTTCTCATTAATTTAGCTCCTTCTAGGCCCCCTCCCAACAATGAGGCAAGTACGATCCCCCTTTACAACGTCCGTGAAGCGAGAAAAATCAACTATCAAAATAAATTTTTCCCAGCCCAAATACGACCCCCTTTCCTGGCGACCAAATACGACCCCCCCCCTATTGGGGGATTCCCCAACCAGGGTACGGCATGGGGATAGGCGAAATGTCGGTGAGAGTACGACCCTCCCTCCTGATGGGAGTACAGGCCACGACCCCCCCCCCCTTTTTTTCGCGTGGGGTACGACCCCCCCCACCCTTCGACACCTTCTTCGCCAGTCGCCGAGCCATGAGTATATAGTCGGCGAAAAAGTTGTCGAGTGCATTAGCATGACCTCCTGTTCCACTCCTTTTTTTGCAGGAAGAAGAGTTAATCGGAAGGCGCAGCCCCGATGTATATTTCTAGCTACAGGCCATACTACGTTGAACCAAAGGAATCCTATGTTCCATAATCAAAGGAGAACCTCATGGCATTCCAGAGAAACTACATCAAGGCATGTGTTATTTGTATTCGTTTTTTTTTCTACTGCCTGTCGAGTACTTTTTTTTTTCTGATGTTAATTACAGGGCTTCCATTTTTTTACTACTGTTAATTATAGGACCCAAAGGAAACCATCTGTAATTACAAGCCGTGTAACGGCCAGTGGTATAGCCAGTACCACTAATGCACCACCAGTAACTATTCTCGAACCCAGTGTGTGTAAATACGCTGATTCTTCCGGTAACACTCGTTTCAAACAGCGATTATACTTTGCGAGTGTGAAGAATACGCGGAAAGTAAAGTATACGTATAGATATTGAGTATCCGCGACTCATAGGCAACCCACCGTTATTAGTTCCTATGTCACCAATTTTAGCTAAGTGCGATTCCTACGAAAACGGTGGTTGGCAAAGTGAATCGATTCCCATCTATTTCTTGTCACCAAGTCACCGAAATGGTGCATATTCGCATTCGCAGAGTAGTAACGCGGCCTTACTACGAAACTTTGTCAGTGGGTTCGGTAAAAGTTCGAACTATGCTTAAGGTACATTTTCACTGCAGAAACTTCAAGTTCCGAAGAAACTACGCGTGCAACGGAAAGTGCCGGCATGTTGACAACAGTGACAACTACACTTGCAACGACATTAACACAGGATAACTCGGGAGAAGTACAGGTAACACGTTCCACTAGCTTTCAGCTAGAGCTTTACTTCTGTAATTGCTCGGATCCGTTTTCCGGGCAGCGTTCAGACTTACAACGACGTGCGTCGAGGCGCTGTCAGAGCAACAGCGCTCCATTACCATAGACGAGGACGCGGCCTTATTCGAGTATCGATCGACGTCACCTGGTACTGTTCTATAGAGGTATAGAAGAATAACAGGAGTGTATCGGAATGTGTGGTGAATCAGCGGTTATCATTCTATACTCCTGAATTCTCTCAGAACTGCAGAGGCCGGCGCCGATCAATACCCACCTATGGCTGCGTTACCATTATATGGCATCGGAGCGCTATCGCAGTGGTAGCGCGTCGACGCTCGTTATCACGAAGTCTGAACGCTGCCCTGTGTATTTTGTGCGAGTTCGGAATCATCGTTCGTCATCACTTGTAAAACCTGGGACTTGGGGTTATATTTCACGGACATGTTTTGCATTCGATTGCGAACATTCCAACTCAGATTTCGTTACCATCACCCACGTATCATTCAACACATCCCAGTTGTTGTGACAGCTGCTATATAGGCGTTGCAACTTTTGCAAATGGTGTCACATGCGTGGTATTCGCGCCAGGACCCAGTTGATTCAACATGGCAACGCTTCTTTGTGTCAAATCTGGGATACGCTTTGTTTTTTTTTGCGTTTAATGCCACTGTCTGGTACTGGACGGCCGTAGCTTATCACTGATGATGAAGCCCGACAAAACCCTGCACACTTTCGTAGAAAGAATATTAAGTCGCACAAGCCACTTATTTACTGTGTTTTCCTACTCTGGATTACTTCTTGAGATCACTTTTGTTTTTCCTTGGAAATCTTAGTTTTTTCTATCATAAGTTGTGGGAAAATGTTGCGAGAAGCAGCTCATCTTTATTCAGAAAGAATTCACTACAAATGTGCCGCTGGTTCTCATGTCAGAGGATGTGAAAAATGTTAGCAGGCAACCTGCTTACTTATTCTGAATGTTTCTACTCATATCTGTATTAGTATGCCTTTTACAGGATTGCTCAGAACATTTGGATTCCGGAAAAGGATCAGGGATTTATCTAATTTCACCGAGTGGTGCCGTACCATTTCCAGTTTTTTTGCGATCAAGAGACGGCTGGTGGAGGTTGGACGGTTATTCAGAGGTAAGAAGTCCTTAACATTGAGTATCTTGTGGTCAGCTTATTTTTTTTTGTATATTACATTTGTTATCATTAAGACGTGTAAGCAGTAAGGTTCACTTTCACAATCGTACATGGGACGAGTATGCGAATGGCTTCGGAGATCTTGATGGCTAGTTTAATATCGTAGTTGTGTCCTTTTAGTTGTGTCAAAGCACAAATTGATGCAGTCGTTTTCGCTGCAGATGCTGGGGCGTGTCAGGGCTGTGCTTGGCGCGCCGCCAGTCCTTTTTCCACCAATTGTTGAAGTGGACAAGCGACAACAATTGATGGAAACCGGCTAACGCCGCGCAAAACGCAGCCCCCTTACACGCCTCAACATCTGCAGCGAAAACGACTATACATACGGGAATTTTCAGAGTCTTACTGGCTTGGGCTTGTCCATCATTTGGCTCCTCGGACCGGTGACACTTGGATTTTACGGATTGAATAAACGGAGATTACTGCGCGGGTCATGGATGTATTGGCCAAAGTGACGGTTAATGGTGGGCAGAATGGCCTTTCAAGGTTCGTAGTTCACTTCCATTCAACAAAATAAGTCAAAATAAGTCGCAATTTTCGCCATTCTTGTAGTGATTTCTAGTTTCTCCTTATAGCACTTATATTTTAGCTTGGTGACGCATCGCAACTTTATCTGCTCGAATTAGGCAGCGTAATTCGTGGAAATCTCACAGATGAAAATTCTGATTTTTTCCAACGCAACAACGGGCACCCATTTACGACCGTGGATAGAGACAACGACGATGCTGGCTCGAACTGCGCTCAGACACGGAATCACGGATTTGTTTCTGCCTTCCTGTTTTTTTTAACTCGATCTTTTCAGCAGTAATAGTAGTAAACACGGGAAATGCTCACAGGGCAACTTCTATGTTGTTTCAAATTAAGCACTTTCTGGGATATAAGGCGCGCTTATGCTTCACATATGTAAAGAAGCCGCTTTGAAGTGCTCTGGTTTTGGTCATGCTGCACGCTCTTTTATTACAAATGGTTTACCAATATTTGGTTTCATGTCCTCAAACTGACGGTTCTTGTGTGTATAACCTTACCGAGTCAAAACGAGCTTGAGGAAGAGGCGTTGGTGATATACGCATCATTCGCATCAGGACCTATCCCACTCAACTTAGCGGTACTCGGCAGGCCGACTCTCCCTCCGTCCGCTATTCTCGAGACAATTACCTCTCTGCGCCTGTATCCTCTAGAGTTAGCTAGGATATAGCATTGTAGGAATTTATAGGGAGTATAGGAGTTTTGCGCAGTTTCAATTCCGTTCTCCACCAGTTGTTGAAGCGAGCAGGTGACAGAACTGTATCATATCCTTCGTATCAGTCGTTTTCTGCCGATGTTCTTGCATACCTTGCTTCAGCAACTGGCACAGAACGGGTTTGGCGCCGTGGCACACTCACACTGCCGGACACGCCCCTTCATCCGCTGCGAACCAGAGTTTATGTGTTAATCTGTTTGTGTAGCATTGTCCTCCCACGACTTTCTCTGTGCATCTCTCGTTTAACCGCGTGATTGTCCAATGCTTAAAATCGGCCGGACCTCATTTAGGGACCGTTTCGATGGTTTCTTTTGAGTCTTCATGGCAACTCAAGCAGCCATATGTGAACATTAGTGCCTACGATATGCAGTCGCGTAACTTTGATAAGGCGCGTCTAACTTGGGACATGATGGCATTCAAAGGCATGGGCACGAAGCCTGGGGCGGGGGGCTGTCGCCAAAGTTACTGGTGGAAGATTTGAGTGGAGTGTGGCCGAACGCTCTTTCGCAGCCCTTCCAGCAGTGGCGCTGGCAACAATCACCCGCCTCCAGCAATCGGGCCAGCTGTCTGATTTCAGTGAAAAATAACTGGTGACATTAATTCTTGCTTTTACAGTGGATAGTGGCATGAAAAGTGCGGTAATGTCGCTCTGAATGGCCTATACGGAGACACAACAGCGCTGCATCGCAACATGATGTTCGTATATCAAAATGTGACGTCAGGCCACAAGAGAAGGGTTATTCATCCTAAGAAGTCCATTATGATGATCAGACCTAAATCATCATCCTAAACATCTAATTCGTTGCTCTGATTCCGTCACTTTCCGTAGACGTGCGGCAACGCGCTACAGTTGCAACAGCGCTCCAACCCTATAGACGCGAACACAGCCGCAGACGAGAATCAATCGGCGACGCTTGTGTATTGTGAGAGTATAGGGAACTGGAGGAGTAGGCGTTGCCTAATCACGCAGACTGGTATCAATCGGCAGTGTCCGCTAAAGCGGTGCCCATTGGTCCCCATCAGCGGCTGCATTCACATCTAGAGGGTTGGAGCGCTGTTGCAGTTGCAGCGCGTGCAGCGCGTCGAAGCCTGAACGCTGCCTTATCCAAGTTACACTTTCCCTATTCCTGTTTCTTATTCTCATAATGTCTTTTAAATATGCTGTCTTTCGTCCAAACGAGTATATCAGCATCATATCAAGCGAGTAGCGTTACAGGTAATTCCAATATTGTGTGTTTTTTTTTGTAGACATGCATAACTTACCTCCCCGATAGGGGTTGTTGGACATGATGGGCGAGCGTTTCTTCCTGAAAAGCCCCTCATGGCCAGAGGCAGTGGGTCACCCGCATCCTGCTTTAAAGCATAGTTATAGCGAAAACCCTAAGTGAAAGAAGAATCACCCACCTTGTGCAGTTTGAGAACACGGCGCATCGCGGCATAGGAAAGGATTTCAGCCAAATATCCCACACCTCCCCCCTTTCTACAAAGAACGACCTTCCCTCGGAATTTCCCCCCTTCGCCATTCCTAATTCTACCTACCATCTTCTCAAATTCTCCCAGCTCCCACCAGCTTCCCGATTTTTTTCCAAAATATCCATTTTCTTCTTTGAAAAGACGGTCGCCTATTTCTAGCTACTGCTTTCTCAAATTCTGTCAACTACTTACCAGTTTTCCGAATTTTTTTCCCTCAAACTATCCTTACCAGTTTTCCGAATTTTTTTCCCCTTCAAACTGTTCCAGTTTTTTTGAAGAAAAAACGGCCGCTCAATTCTACCTGCCGTCTTCTCAAATTTTCTCAACTTCTACCAGTTTCCGAATTTCTGTTCCCGAAAATATTTTTTTGAACGGCTGCCTGGGGGATGGGGACAGGGTTGATTGCGCACTTGAAACGGAAGCTGCGGAGAATCCCAGCGACGGAAAACCAAAAACACTTCCCTTGAAGACAATTACGACCCCCCAGCAGCGACTAAATACGACCCTCCCCCTTACCTCGCTAGGGTTCCCCAATGTACAACGCGACCTGATTATGATGGATTCGAGCATAGTTCAATGCAAAGAAGAAACGTTCCCTATTCCCATAGTTTCAGTCATCCAAAATGTTGCGGTATGAAGATTGACTGAAACTATTCTTTAGCCTTCTCTTTGCTTTAGTGAAGTTATCTTTTTCAATTGTTATTTTTTGTTGTTGCTCTTTTGTAGATGTTTTGATCTTTTTCTATGGAGACATTGTGTAGAAATGAATATAATAAATTCCTTCTTGTTTTTGTTCGTTGGGACGAATTGTCATCTTGGGCGTTACGCTACTATGGACACAAATTGTTACAATTTTTGGGGGCCATGGTTTTCGCAGAGCAGAGGCAGATATGTGCCCACGTGAATCACATTGCTGGTTTCTGGTGAGAGGCAAATCGTACACTCACTTCCGTAGATCCTGGTCCTTGCCGTTTGCGAGGTGAATGGCTCCGCAGCTGCAGTAGCATGCCACTTTTCTCACTGAGTGCTCGGGAATAGGGCTCGAGAGTCACCCGGGTTTTTCCCCGTGTTCCCCTCGCGTTGACGCTTCGCCTGCCACACGCCTCCCAACCATAGCCAGAGGTGCTACTTTTCTACGCCCTCTTATTTTTGGTTGTTCTCTACACTATGAGGCACTCAAATACTCGCCCTGTTGACTATCTTCTTATGTTGACTTGTTTATGAGTATGTTGCCGCAAGGATCGACAGGGTAGAAAGCGACTCAATTAATGCACGGTCGCGATAAGGAGCGTAGGTAGTGGCGTTGAAATATGGAAGAGAAGTTGTCAAGTACTCGCCTGTGAAAGAAAAATGTATAGGGGATGTCGGCAATACGACCCCCCTCGTGTCTGGATATGGATAGTCGCATGGTGCGGCGTGTTGCGTGCTTGTGAAATTCTTTGTTTGCAGACGGGAACAGAAAAAGTAATAGCTATTACAATCCTTCGTCTCCACAGGCACGCTCTTCTAAGTGGCAAAATTGGTACCCTTTTACAACTGCCACGATCAGGACTATAAGCTGTATTCCTATCGCAGTTGCACTTGAGCCCTTTTTATTATTCAAGAAGTATTTGCGAGAAAAAAGAACTTTGTGAAAGCCGTTTACCTTAAGGAAATGAAAAGGGAACCTCAAAATGGTTATTTGTCCCGTCAAATTACATTTTTCTGTGAGGAGAGAGGAGAATGGTTATCGTAACGTGGCTAAAAATGTGTTACTGAAGACTTCATGGGAGCCCTCTTTTATTTGTCCCGTAAAATTACATTTTTCTGTGAGGAGAGAGGAGAATGGCTTATCGTAACGTGGCTAAAAATGTGTTACTGAAGACTTCATGGGAGCCCTCTTAGAGCTGGTTCTCATTGATTTAGCTCCTTTTAGGAGGAGACCCATACTGCTTGGAGTGGTTGTGTTGCTGCTGTTATTTCTTACTTTAATCGGTGTGCTACTCTTCTATTTGTTTCGTCCCGCAAAGACCGAGGATGACATCGAATACTTTCACCAGGAAGTGAAATCTCCATCTGTAGACTTTGACAATGTTGTGAGTTGATTTTTTCTACTTTGCTATTTTGCTGCCTTTATTGTTTTGTCTTTTATTTTCTCATCACGACGTATCCCCTTTTTTCTGGCTCAAGCTGCATTTTTCTCTCTGATTATAGTATTGGCGTAAGTCATAGCTCATCTGTGGGCTTATTTCTGTAGCTTGTATCACTTCGATCTTCGTCATTCTTGTGACAGTATTGGGCAGATGAGTACGTAAATAAAGCAAAACCTACTCTGCTCTTTAACACCTTGAGCTTAGGTCGTCCTAGAATTCTATAAGGATTGGTAACCTTTCTATGCGGTTGGTGCGGACAGCTGTCACGGTTTTCATCGCAGTGAAAGCCTTGGCGTCGTTTTGGGACGACAAATTCGTGAAGTGATGCTGACGTGGGACAGGTACCCGGTTCTGTAGCTCTCCAGACGCGCTGTCATCAAGGTAATATCTCGCGACAAACGCGCAGTCAGGGGTGTAGAACAACTAGACAGACGTGAGATGGCGCAAGTAGCTTGCTTGTCTATGGTTAGGCTTGTGGCTGACCGCTCGCCAGCTCGGAGTCTGGAGACGGCACATAGGCATCACTACCCTCCAGCCCCGTTCCCATGAGATTTCCGGAGAAAGAAGCACGCTGACGCAGCTGCGGACCCTCTAATCTCGCAGATGACAACTACCAAGATTCTTTGAGGTGGGCATGCCGTTAGTCCTTGACAACATGCCTTACGGGATTAATCTTTTCTGAGCAGGGTTGCAGCTGTTTAAGGGTATCACATCATGGAAATGAGTGGCAGTGAAGCTGGAGGGTCGTGAAAGCTGGATCTTCTCCAATGTCCCCCTCAGTATTCGACCCATGTTATGCACTATGGCTATTGCCAACATGTCCGGTGCGGGAACAGGACCATCATGCTTCTGCAGCGAAGGAGTTGGCATCACGTCCACAACGAGCAGCATGTGCCGAAGACGTGCTGCATAAAACGATGGCGCCTCTCGTAAAACGAGAGGGAGTAGAATCAAGTATTCGTCATCCTTGTGACAGCAATTGGGCAGATGAGTACGTAAATCAAAGCAAAACCTACTCTGCTCTTTCAACACCTTGAGCTTGGGTCGTCCTAGAATTTATAAGGATTGGTAACCTTTCTATGCGGTTGGTGCGGACAGCTGTCACGGTTTTCATCGCAGTGAAAGCCTTGGCGTCGTTTTGGGACGACAAATTCGTGAAGTGATGCTGACGTGGGACAGGTACCCGGTCCTGTAGCTCTCCAGACGCGCTGTCATCAAGGTAATATCTCGCGACAAACGCGCAGTCAGGGGTGTAGAACAACTAGACAGACGTGAGATGGCGCAAGTAGCTTGCTTGTCTATGGTTAGGCTTGTGGCTGACCGCTCGCCAGCTCGGAGTCTGGAGACGGCACATAGGCATCACTACCCTCCAGCCCCGTTCCCATGAGATTTCCGGAGAAAGAAGCACGCTGACGCAGCTGCGGACCCTCTAATCTCGCAGATGACAACTACCAAGATTCTTTGAGGTGGGCATGCCGTTAGTCCTTGACAACATGCCTTACGGGATTAATCTTTTCTGAGCAGGGTTGCAGCTGTTTAAGGGTATCACATCATGGAAATGAGTGGCAGTGAAGCTGGAGGGTCGTGAAAGCTGGATCTTCTCCAATGTCCCCCTCAGTATTCGACCCATGTTATGCACTATGGCTATGGCCAACATGTCCGGTGCAGGAACTGGACCATCATCTTTCTGCAGCGAAGGAGTTGGCGTCACGTCCACAGGCACGCTCTTCTAAGTGGCAAAATTGGTACCCTTTTACAACTGCCACGATCAGGACTATAAGCTGTATTCCTATCGCAGTTGCACTTGAGCCCTTTTTATTATTCAAGAAGTATTTGCGAGAAAAAAAGAACTTTGTGAAGAACTTGCATTAGCATGACCTCCTGTTCCACTCCTTTTTTTGCAGGAAGAAGAGTTAATCGGAAGCGCAGCCCCGATGTATATTTCTAGCTACAGGCCATACTACGTTGAACCAAAGGAATCCTATGTTCCATAATCAAAGGAGAACCTCATGGCATTCCAGAGAAACTACATCAAGGCATGTGTTATTTGTATTCGTTTTTTTTCTACTGCTGTCAAATACTTTTTATTCTTTCTAATGTTAATTACAGGGCTTCCATTTTTTTACTACTGTTAATTATAGGAGTCAAAAGAAACTATCTGTATATACAAGCCGTGTAACGGCCAGTGGTATAGCCAGTACCACTAATGCACCACCAGTAACTATTCTCGAACCCAGTGTGTGTAAATACGCTGATTCTTCCGGTAACACTCGTTTCAAACAGCGATTATACTTTGCGAGTGTGAAGAATACGCGGAAAGTAAAGTATATGTAATGATATGGAGTATCCGCGACTCACAGGCAACCCACCGTTATTAGTTCCTATGTCACCAATTTTAGCTAAGTGCGATTCCTACGAAAACGGTGGTTGGCAAAGTGAATCGATTCCCATCTATTTCTTGTCACCAAGTCACCGAAATGGTGCATATTCGCATTCGCAGAGTAGTAACGCGGCCTTACTACGAAACTTTGTCAGTGGGTTCGGTAAAAGTTCGAACTATGCTTAAGGTACATTTCACTGCAGAAACTTCAAGTTCCGAAGAAACTACGTGTTCAACGGAAAGTGCCGGCATGTTGACAACAGTGACAACTACACTTGCAACGACATTAACACAGGATAACTCGGGAGAAGTACAGGTAACACGTTCCACTAGCTTTCAGCTAGAGCTTTACTTCTGTAATTGCTCGGATCCGTTTTCCGGGCAGCGTTCAGACTTACAACGACGTGCGTCGAGGCGCTGTCAGAGCAACAGCGCTCCATTACCATAGACGAGGACGCGGCCTTATTCGAGTATCGATCGACGTCACCTGGTACTGTTCTATAGAGGTATAGAAGAATAACAGGAGTGTATCGGAATGTGTGGTGAATCAGCGGTTATCATTCTATACTCCTGAATTCTCTCAGAACTGCAGAGGCCGGCGCCGATCAATACCCACCTATGGCTGCGTTACCATTATATGGCATCGGAGCGCTATCGCAGTGGTAGCGCGTCGACGCTCGTTATCACGAAGTCTGAACGCTGCCCTGTGTATTTTGTGCGAGTTCGGAATCATCGTTCGTCATCACTTGTAAAACCTGGTGACTTGGGGTTATATTTCACGGACATGTTTTGCATTCGATTGCGAACATTCCAACTCAGATTTCGTTACCATCACCCACGTATCATTCAACACATCCCAGTTGTTGTGACAGCTGCTATATAGGCGTTGCAACTTTTGCAAATGGTGTCACATGCTTGGTATTCGCGCCAGGACCCAGTTGATTCAACATGGCAACGCTTCTTTGTGTCAAATCTGGGATACGCTTTGTTTTTTTTTGCGTTTAATGCCACTGTCTGGTACTGGACGGCCGTAGCTTATCACTGATGATGAAGCCCGACAAAACCCTGCACACTTTCGTAGAAAGAATATTAAGTCGCACAAGCCACTTATTTACTGTGTTTTCCTACTCTGGATTACTTCTTGAGATCACTTTTGTTTTTCCGTTGGAAATCTTAGTTTTTTCTATCATAAGTTGTGGGAAAATGTAGCGAGAAGCAGCTCATCTTTATTCAGAAAGAATTCACTACAAATGTGCCGCTGGTTCTCATGTCAGAGGATGTGAAAAATGTTAGCAGGCAACCTGCTTACTTATTCTGAATGTTTCTACTCATATCTGTATTAGTATGCCTTTTACAAGATTGCTCAGAACATTTGGATTCCGGAAAAGGATCAGGGATTTATCTAATTTCACCGAGTGGTGCCGTACCATTTCCAGTTTTTTTACGATCAAGAGACGGCTGGTGGAGGTTGGACGGTTATTCAGAGGTAAGAAGTCCTCTGACACTGAGTACTTTGAGGTCAGATTATTTTTGTATATATATTACATTTGTTATCATTAAGACGTGTAAACAGTAAGGTTCACTTTCACAATCGTACATGGGACGAGTATGCGAATGGCTTCGGAGATCTTGATGGCTAGTTTAATATCGTAGTTGTGTCCTTTTGGTTGTGTCAAAGCGCAAATTGATGCAGTCGTTTTCGCTGCAGATGCTGGGGCGTGTCAGGAGCTGGGCCTAGCGCGCCGCCAGTCCTTTTTCTACCAATTGTTGAAGTGGACAAGCGAAAACAATTGATGGAAACCGGCTAACGCCTCGCCAAACGCAGCCCTCTTACACACCTCGACATCTGCAGCGAAAACGACTATACATACGGGAATTTTCAGAGTCGTACTGGCTTGGGCTTGCATCATTTGGCTCCTCGGACCGGTGACACTTGGATTTTACGGATTGAATCAAACGGAGATCACTGCGCGGGTCATGGATGTATTGGCCAAAGTGACGGTTAATGGTGGGCAGAATGGCCTTTCAAGGTTCGTAGTTCACTTCCATCAACAAAATAAGTCAAAATAAGTCGCAATTTTCGCCATTCTTGTAGTGATTTCTATGTTTCTCGTTATAGACACTTATATTTTAGCTTGGTGACGCATCGCAACTTTATCTGCTCGAATTAGGCAGCGTAATTCGCGGAAATTTCACAGATGAAAATTTTGATTTTTTTTTCCAGCGCGACAACGGGCACCCAATTACGACCGTGGATAGAGACAACGACGATGCTGGCTCGAACTGCGCTCAGACACGGAATCACGGATTTGTTTCTGCCTTCCTGTTTTTTTTTAACTCGATCTTTTCAGCAGTAATAGTAGTAAACACGGGAAATGCTCACAGGGCAACTTCTATGTTGTTTCAAATTAAGCACTTTCTGGGATATAAGGCGCGCTTATGCTTCACATATGTAAAGAAGCCGCTTTGAAGTGCTCTGGTTTTGGTCATGCTGCACGCTCTTTTATTACAAATGGTTTACCAATATTTGGTTTCATGTCCTCAAACTGACGGTTCTTGTGTGTATAACCTTACCGAGTCAAAACGAGCTTGAGGAAGAGGCGTTGGTGATATACGCATCATTCGCATCAGGACCTATCCCACTCAACTTAGCGGTACTCGGCAGGCCGACTCTCCCTCCGTCCGCTATTCTCGAGACAATTACCTCTCTGCGCCTGTATCCTCTAGAGTTAGCTAGGATATAGCATTGTAGGAATTTATAGGGAGTATAGGAGTTTTGCGCAGTTTCAATTCCGTTCTCCACCAGTTGTTGAAGCAAGCAGGTGACAGAACTGTATCATATCCTTCGTATCAGTCGTTTTCTGCCGATAGTTCTTGCATACTTGCTTCAGCAGCTGGCACAGAACAGGTTTGGCGCCGTGGCACACTCACACTGCCGGACACGCCCCTTCATCCGCTGCGAACCAGAGTTTATGTGTTAATCTGTTTGTGTAGCATTGTCCTCCCACGACTTTCTCTGTGCATCTCTCGTTTAACCGCGTGATTGTCCAATGCTTAAAATCGGCCGGACCTCATTTAGGGACCGTTTCGATGGTTTCTTTTGAGTCTTCATGGCAACTCAAGCAGCCATATGTGAACATTAGTGCCTACGATATGCAGTCGCGTAACTTTGATAAGGCGCGTCTAACTTGGGACATGATGGCATTCAAAGGCATGGGCACGAAGCCTGGGGCGGGGGCTGTCGCCAAAGTTACTGGTGGAAGATTTGAGTGGAGTGTGGCCGAACGCTCTTTCGCAGCCCTTCCAGCAGTGGCGCTGGCAACAATCACCCGCCTCCAGCAATCGGGCCAGCTGTCTGATTTCAGTGAAAAATAGTTGGTGACATCAAATCTTGCTTTTACAGTGGATGGTGGCATGAAAAGTGCGGTAATGTCGCTCTGAATGGCCTACACGGAGACACAACAGCGCTGCATCGCAACATGATGTTCGTATATCAAAATGTGACGTCAGGCCACAAGAGAAGGGTTATTCATCCTAAGAAGTCCATTATGATGATCAGACCAGCTCATCACCCTGACCATCTGCTTCGTTGCTCTGATTCCGTTCACTTTGCGTAGAGGTGCGGCAAGGCGCTACTGCAACAGCGCTCCAACCCTACAGACGCGAACACAGCCGCTGACGAGAATCAATCGGCGACGCTTGTGTATTGTGAGAGTATAGGGAACTGGAGGAGTAGGCGTTGCCTAATCACGCAGACTGGTATCAATCGGCAGTGTCCGCTAAAGCGGTGCCCATTGGTCCCCATCAGCGGCTGCATTCACATCTAGAGGGTTGGAGCGCTGTTGCAGTTGCAGCGCGTGCAGCGCGTCGAAGCCTGAACGCTGCCTTATCCAAGTTACACTTTCCCTATTACTGTTTCTTATTCTCATAATGTCTTTTGAATATGCTGTCTTTCGTCCAAACGAGTATATCAGCATCATATCAAGCGAGTAGCGTTACAGGTAATTCCAATATTGTGTGTTGTTTTTGTGTAGACATGCATAACTACCTCCCCGATAGGGGTTGTTGGACATGATGGGCGAGCGTTTCTTCCTGAAAAGCCCCTCATGGTCAGAGGCAGTGGGTCACCCGCATCCTGCTTTAAAGCATAGTTATAGCGAAAACCCTAAGTGAAAGAAGAATCACCCACCTTGTGCAGTTTGAGAACACGGCGCATCGCGGCAT